CTTAAATCTACCAGAGCGTTATCGTCGCAAGTCTTATCCCAACAAGAACATAAGATAAAGTACACGAAATGAGCAACACAAGACAAAAAATACAAGACGAAACATCAAAGCGCAAAGATAACATGAGAGAGAAAGAAAAACAACAAGGGTGGCCATCTATACTTAGTATTTTAAAACTATAACCAAGAAACTAAGAAAGACATATGTCCCCATCCATTCTATTACAATTCTCTAATCATAGTATCACATGTCATCTTACACTATTAATTTTTTATTACACCATTTTTTAAAATTCTTTCATTAAACTTATAATTCATCTTTCATACACACTTCATCTTTTCATCTTCATCTCTCTCTTTTAATTCAACCTTTTCCTATTCTCTCTTTAATTTTAGCCCTTCCACCTTCTATTTAAGCCTCTTTTTCAATTAAACTCCAAAATTTTAATTTCTTTAATCATGTTTCCGATTACATATTATACCTTATAATGACTTACTGATGTTTCTTCACTTATCTATCAATACAATTTTATATGAATAACCCGTGCATCGCACGGGCCAGAAGGCTAGTTTTACTAAATAGAGTAAACCTAGCCTCCATAGATTACTTTCCGACATACTAAGATGGTGATTAATGGTGACTCTTTTCCAATCTTTTCTTTGCGCCATTCTAAGGCTATCTCTCTCCTCCATTCATCATCTTCTTCTGTCGTCAAAAACCTTAACCCTAATTTTAATTTTAATCCTGTGAATTCCTTATTACCATTACCGCCTAATCAATTGGACTTCATGGGTGTTGAAAACCCTAAGTTGGGTCATGAAATATATATATATATCTTTCCAGTAAGTTTATTGATCATGGAAATGTGTTGCTTATGGCTTTATCAACATGTCTAGTTAAAGTGATGCTATTTTTTATTGGTTTATTTATTTACTAGATGGAAGTCTGTGTGATACATCATTTCTTAAAATAAATCTCACGAAAAGATATTTTTTAATTAGACCCTATAATTAATAATAACAATATACTAAAAGACACACCAACAATGACACGTGTCATCTTCTGGTGTGTCCTTAGTTAATTTTTTAAATTTAAAAAATAAAAAATAAAACCACTTTTTTGTTGGTCGAAATAATACCTTTTCATATGTGGTGTGCCAAATGCTCCCGAAAATTGCCTACGTTTTTTTTTACTTATATACGTGCCATGCATGGTTTTGATAATTTTATTATTTTTATATGCAACATAAAATGCGACCTTATTGACTTATTTTTAGTTGTATGAAATTGAATATATAATTAATAAATAAATTATAAATTTGATATCTCATTCGTCAAATTTTAGAATAAAATATTTAATACTATATAATGTTATAAGATAATTTTTTTAATAATCTAAATTCTAACGGCATGTTCACTTCAGCTTAATTTCAGTTCAGTCAGTTCTGCTCCAATCAGTTCAGTTCAGTGCAATTTAGCTCTAATCATTTCAGCTCAGTTCAGCTCCTAATTTCCTTCTCTCATAAAATATTCATTTCAGTTTAGTTTAGCTCCAATCAGTTCACTTAAGTTCAGTTCAACTCCAACAAGTTCAGTTCAGCTCAGTTTAGTTCAGTTCAACTCAATTCAGTAAATGTGAACAGGCCCTAAATCGCTATTCATAGTTTTTTAAGTGACTTGAAATTATACTCTCAAGTTTCATTCATTAATTTTGCTTATGTGGCAATTGTTTTTTTAATTCTAAAATAAAATGTAATTTTTTTTTTCAGTATTTGTCAAATAATGTCTTTGTATATGACAGTATATGTTATCTCATTCAACGGATATTAGGATAAAATTTTAAATGTGAAAGGATTTTGTTTTTTTTTTTTTTTTTTTTTTTTTTGGTTTTTAAAAATAATTTTAATCCTAAATCACCAATCTTAGTTTTTTTTAACCTACGTTATGAAAGCCCATGCAATAATACACGATTTTTTAATATATAAATCTCAAGAACATCGATTCTAATTTATACACTAAGTTTTTTTTTATTATTATTATTATAAGTTGGATATTTTACTATCAATAGTTATGTGACAATTGAATTTATTAAAAACAAAAATTTTTGCATGTCCCCGGTTTACAATAATTTTATTGTACATCGAACCATTTGCAGAAAGTGACCCTTTTTTTCACAAAAGTGACCCCTTTTTTCACAAAAGTGATTTTTTTCACAAAAGTGACCCTTTTTTGCAAGAGTGATCATTTTTATTCACAAAAGTGACCCTGTTTTATCACAAAAGTGACCCTTTTTTCACAAAAGTGACCCATATTTTACAAAAACGCACTATTGTTCACCGACCTTAAAAAAAATTAGGTCACAACATTCAGAAAATATACCTTCAATTTTTTTCGTTTGAACTAGTAGTAGGAGGAGCAATTGTCTCCTTCTTTGAAACTTAACATTCGACATTATATTCAAAAACTAAAATCAAAATAGAATTAACATGAACATACCTTAAAATAACCAAAAATACAAAAAAAAGAATGAACACACATACCTCAAAATTGGATGTAAAAGAAGAATTAACAAAAAGAAACTACAAAATTAAGTTGAAAACCAAGATTAGATTGAAAAACGAGAGTGAAATTGAAGAATAAAGGAGATAGAAACTAGAAAGAGGGGTAAAGAAGATGAGAGAAAAAAAGAAGAGCAGAGGAAAGAGAAGAAATAGAAATAAAAGAAAATAAAGCAGGAGAGAGAAAATATGAGAGTGGTATAAAATTTTAAATTTCACACGTGTAGATTGGGCCATAACCACCGCCATTCAATAACTTATTGTAAACCCGTTTTTTTTAAACTTTTGTGTATTAAAAAAATAAATATAAATAATATGTTATCCCATTCGTCAGATATTAGGATAAAATCTTTAATATAAAAAGATATTATTTTTGAAATTAAAATTATTTAAATCCTGAATCACTATTATTGTTAAATAAGTCTCAAATCTCATTCATTAATTTTGTTTTACTTAAAATATTAAAAATAAATCACTATTTGTTGTTTTTACCTAAGTGGCAAAGTTCTTAAATCTCATTTGTCACTTTTGCTCGGGTAACGAGTGAATTTTTTAATTCTAAAATAAAATACAAATCTAGTATTTAATTGGTTGAAATCATATCTTTGCTTATGTAGCACACCAAATGCTCCCGAAAAATGTTAAATTTATTTATATACTATTTTTGTGCCCTGTGCGATGCCCGGGTTGTTTATAAAGTTGATTTAAAACTATACAACGTGGCGTGACGCTCAAATTTTATTTTATTGAAAATAAAATTCTAAATTAACAATTTTATCCTAAAATTCTAAATTAACAATTTTATCCTAAAATTCTATCCAAATTTAATTCATAATAAAATTCTAAACTAACTTTTTTATCTTATGAAGTGTATTTAATCTATTCAACGTGGTGCGGCACTTGGCGAAAAGTTAGAATGCCAAGTGTCGCTGCCTCGTGACCTGGCTAAAAGTTTAGCTTTATATATTAGTTATATGATATATTAGATTAAAATAAGTAAATTTCTAATAAACAAAAAAGAAGTGTATGCAGGGAGCCTAAGTTAGTTATATTATATGGCTCATAAAGATCAGATTGAAAGTTTGGACATGTAGCACAAATGCACAATTTTAAGTTGTTTGATTCTTTCTTCATTAGTCATTAAATTTCTTGTTGTTATCCCCATATATTTTTTTAACCAGTCTTGTACAGAGGACTTTACTGTTGATAACTTTTGTTGGACAAAAATGAAATTTTCCACTTTAATTGAAATTGGTCAAAAAAAAATTAACAATGGAATGTGACTCCTCGATCATCAAGGGTCTTATGCTTAGCTTGGAGAGTGGATTGTATCATGAGTTGCAATAAACATAAGTTTAATGTTTACATTATGAAATTGGTCAACCAAATTTTTTGTATGTGATGAGATATATTTGTTACTAGATTAGTACCCGTGCGTTGCACGCTGGTTGATTAGTAATTTTTTCTATAATTATTTATCTTTTGTTGTTGATAACTTTCTAATATGATTTGGCTCGTTATTTTTTTTTTTTTAAATTTGTTATATAAATATATAAAAAAAAAACATGTACTTATAAAAAATAGTTATAAAATGATGCATCATAATGTAATATTTACTATGTTATTAAAAATATACTAAAATGATGGTTAGATTAAATATATTAATGTTGTATAAATGTATTATTCATTAAGATTATACGTTTAGAGTGGAAGCTAAATAAATGTGTAATTTACTATTAAAATAAATTAAAAGAAAATGTGTATTAATTTGTTCAAAAAAAATGTGTATAATTAGCTACCAATATCTAGGTCTATTTAATATTGTTGTATTATGAATATCCAAAAGAAGTGTGGAGTATATACAACAATATTGATGTCAAATTCAAATTTCACACCTACTTGGTCCTAGTTTCTAGCTAGAAAAGGCACAAAAAAAAATTATAACATCATAGGTAAAATTTGGAGGGAAAATTTTTAATGAGAGTTTGACATGTAAGCACTTTAAGAAATTGATGACATCATCAATGTTTTGTTTTAGTAATAGGTAATAGATGTTAATTGATTAAGGGGGCGTTTGGTTCGCAAATTGGTATGGGGTTGGAATCAGGAATGAAACCATAGTGGTATGAGTTTGGAACTTGATTTTTAATACCATCGGTTTGGTATGCTTATAGAATGCAATTTTTTTCTTTTATTTGATACCTAAAAGTATGGAAATGAGCCAAACCTACCTCTCCCCCCCCCCCCTCCTCCTGCTAGGTTTTTAAACCCCATACTTTGGGGGTTTGAGGTATGAGTTTGAAACTCTTAAAATCATAAAACAAACATAAGGTATGGGTTTAAACCATTCTAAAACCATACCTTATACCTTAATTAATTATGTGAACCAAACGCCCCCTAATAGGTTTCACATTGTCTTAAACATTTGCTTTGTATGGATTATGAGACTTTTGTACCTAGATAATTTTCTTGCAATAATAAATAAGGATTCACTATAGCTATAATTTACTAAATTTAAGGTACAAAAGTCTAATCATGGATTACAATCTATTCAACTGGAAGCATGGATTGCAGAAAAAGGCCAACAAGATTTGAGAAATTTTCAATTAAGCCTAGCCTTACAAAAACAACAATTTGCATCCACGTTTCCTAATTTTTTAAGCCTAGAAGAAACGGCATGGTTGATGATGGAAGCCATTGTTGCCCTTGAATAAAAGGACCGATAGTGAATCTCATAGCCTCATCTCTATTTGTAATTACGCGATACCCCTTCCATCTTACTCTCCTACTCGTATTAGCACCAGGACCTCGATTAGCATACTCACCATAGTACAACGTATCCAAGGCAAAGTTACCCGCCCATGGCATCCACCCTGCTGGTTGGATAAAGTCTGCTAGCATCGATTGCATGATTAATGTTGTAGAGTATTCCTTCCATGGTCTTCCCAAAAATGTCGGGATTTTGAATCTATCAGCAAACAGCTTTTGCTCCGGAACAATTCTACAGTTGTGAATAACAATTCCTGTGATTTCTCGGCGATCCTTTTTGCCTTGTGCAGTGATTGTGTTTTGTTGATTATCCATAGGCTTTCTGACAACAATAAGCGAGTTTTGGATGATTGCGCTACCATCTCCGAATATGAAGTCCACTGTGCCTGAAATCACACAGTTACGGTAGAACTGTCGATGTGCTTGTGGGTATAATGTGTCTTGATATCCATCCATCCTACAATTATAAAATGCTGACATATCGGATTGTACGCGAAGTGCCACTGCTTGGTGTCCTTCTGCACCTGCTGTGTTTTGAAAACCCATCGACTTCCCAATGAAGCCATTTCCAATTACAGCTGCAAAATTACAACCAAGATTACATTAACATTACTTCAAAGCTCTAGCTACGCGTTGTCTTTGTTCTCAGAGTGATGGACAATAATATATACTACCTCCGTTACAGTTTATGTGCAATGATTAGACATTTTTCCTCTCTGCTTTATGTCAAATCGTTGAACATAACCTGTAACGGAGGTAGTATATACCATTAATTTGAATTACACAAGCTTTAAAAAAGTTGTGAAATTAAAAATAACTTACCAAAGGTAGCTGTTTTATATGTACTAACACCATCGCGAAAACTTTTTTTCCCAGTAACAATGGTCTTACGAGGTCCATCTCCATACATATATACGTTAATTTGGTCTTTTGTTATAAGTACTTGTTCATCGTATATCCCTGCTTTGACATAGATAACATATCTCCCTTGTAAATTCTTTGGATATGCTTTAAGGGCGTCGTTAATAGTCTTAAATTGTCCGCTCCCATCTCGAGCCACGATTACATTAGGCTTAGGATTATTAGTATTAATCCTCCCTAATAATTTTCTATCTTCACTTGAAACCCATGTAGGGAAACCATCTTTATCAACCTTAGGGAGATTTTCATTCGTATTAAGAAGTCGTCTAGAGTAATTCGTTACATTTATATTAATGCCAAAATGGCTAAGAATCGGACTAATCTCCGAAACAATAGCAAGCATATTACTAGTTAATTGAGATGCATTATCAAGACCTTTAGTCATTTTTTCCTTCAAATCGGGATTATCCACACCATCGAGACATGATTGTTGGTACGCAACGGTAGCACTCAACCAATTTTTCAAATCATCTTCCTTATTCTTCATCGTAGACATATTGACATCACTTACATCTAAAAGCACAGATTGTAACTCATCCGTGGCAAGCCGCAACAGTTCCTTACAATCCTCGAACGCCATTTTATTCAAAGGATCATTCGCTTCTTTCCCTATAGATTCCGAGTTGTCAAAACCTTGTTTCACAGCATCCATAGTCGCCATGATGGCAATATGAATGTAGTCTTGCAGGGAGGCACTTTGGTTTTTCGCAACCGAGGCGAGGCTTTGGACACATGCTTCTTTGTAATCAGTAGGACTACAGATAGCTTGAACAGCTTTGGAGGTTGAAGATAAAGGATCAGGTTTATGCTCATTAGCAATATGAGTTCGACGCACAAAATATACAAGACCAACGGCTACACCAACTATAATGATTATTGATATTCCTAATCCAATCAATTTTCCCTTCATTTTTTATTATTTTTACGTAAAGAATACCAATTGAATATTTAGATAAAGTTATGCCTAGCCAATTGGTAAGAAAAAAAAAAACAATTTAATTTCATGATTAATATAGAATCATACATTTCATTATTATCTTATTTTAGATTAGGCTTCCTAATTTTAGTGATTCCTTGTTTAGGAAATAACTAATAATAGTTTAGACAACTATGCTACAATCATTTTGAACTGTAAATTCTATATGAAATTTTTTAGGCGAAAATTTACATATTAGCTATATTTTTCATTGATTTTCCTTAGTTAAAGCTAAGCTAAATTAAATATGGTGGATCTAGAAATCTTTTTGCTAATTATTTCAAAAAAAAAAAAAAAAATCTTTTTGCTAATATATAGGTGATTAAATTAAATTAAAACCAATATTTGGCCCTGAATGTTTCTTTCTTCATCTTTATTTTCTAATGTTTTGCATATTATATTCTTGAAGCCAAAAATACAAGAGAAAATTATTACTATTTAAAGAATAAAGAAGTTTGTAAGTTATACAAGTCAACAATAACCAACGATCTATCAAATTATAATTTGTAAATTAATAATATGCTTACTAATGTTAAAGTTAGTAATAGTAAAATAGTGTTAACAAATACATGTAGTACAATATTTCATTTTTAACTCAATTAAAAAAAATATGATATTAAGTTGATGAAATAAAGTAAAGGAAAATTCCCTTTTTCTCATGATGAGAAACGAAATTTGTTTCTCATAGGGGCATTTTCGTAAATAAATCAACAACTTTTTTATTATTGTGGGCTCCACAGTTGAATAAAGTTGAATAAAATGTTGGTTTATTTACGAAAATGTCATTCACCATGAAAAACTGGGCATCCTCGTAAATAAATATTATGATAATATAACTATAATTTGGGATAGTTTTATGCTAAACAAAAAAAAGGTGGGATGTGGGGGACAAGTTCACTTAAAAAAACTAAACAAAAATAATAGACAAGAAAGTGATAAGATCATAAGAAAGGTTGAAAAAAATATAGTGTTGGACTAAGAAATAACGAGAAAAAATGGGCACATCGGAATTAAGAGAAAATGGAAAAGATAAAAAGTCATTTTTGGTCTACCGGTAACAAATTTTAGATCAAGTAATTGATTTGGATCATGTTGAAATCGCCTCTACTCCTCTAGTCAAAGTTAACTGTGTTGGACCGTTTTGATATAAATACGACCTATACATAAATTGTAGGAATTATAGTGGTAACATACATGCAACTACGACACGATGATCTATTAATTAATTTAATTTACCAAGCCCGCCTAACAAATTTAACTCAGTATTTGCTAAAGTTGGTCCTAAATAAAAAATTGACCCTATTGACACACTCTCTTGATTGTTTTAATTGACACACTCCCTTAGACATGTAGTTTGAGAAAAATAATAGGTGGAGACCATAAAAATGTGATATAGAGGTAATTTATAGATTTGATTTACATTATTAAAACAAAGGATATGCATGTGAGACTGGGAAAGTTACTGAAATATGGTAAATAACTTGTATAATTTAATGATGGTGGTCCTTTGCCGTTCATAATGTCTGACTTAGGGTCTGTTCACATTTACTGAACTGAGCTAAACTGAACTGGTTGGAGCTGAACTAAACTGAACTGAGCTGAGCTGAACTGAATATTTTATGAGAGATGGAAATTAGAAGCTGAACTGAACTGAACTGATTGGAACTGAACTGAAATGAACTAAACTGATTGGAGCTGAACTGAACTGAACTGAACTGAAATTAAATAAATGTAACAGGCCCTTAGTGCAAGTCAACAAGTTGGCTTCGATTATGGAGAGACTTTTAACTCGGTAGTCAAACCTGGTGAATTTGCGACACTCCATCCACCACTTATGGACGTATCGAAGCTAATCCCTCGTCCTGAATCTGAGCAAAGACCAATCAAAGATAATTCTTTTTTTTTTTTTTTTGAAACCAAAGATAATTCTTATTTTCTTACTTAACTAAACTATGAATTGGTAGCCATGAATTACTTAACTAAACTCCCCCCTTTCATATGTAGTTCTTTCAAACCACAAGAGAGAACATATGATATTCTTACCATGTTTATCTTTTCACTACTAGTTATTCGAGGCCTTCCAAAGGGAGGTTAGTTATGTATGAGTAAATGTATAACGAGGGGCATGAGGGTCATTTCACGTAAATGCATTTCTGAATTAGAGTAGTACCACTGGGTGATCAATTGTGTCACTAGTTGATTAAATGATATCATTGAATATTTCAGTGGTACTATTTATGTATGTAGTGGTACTATATATTCGTTTAGTGGTACTCACTACGTGTAGAAATAGTATCACTACGGTAGAAATAGTATCACTGCATAGTCAATGTTACTATCTAAGATTTCAACGGTAAATTTAAAAAGTGGTCCCACTTACCCATCTCTCTCCTCTTTTCTCTCACCCCCATGTGCTTTTTAATATTTTAGTATTTGTTATGTAAATAATGTTCTAATATAAGAAGTATTTTCAAGGCTATATTCTAAAATAAGAAGATCGAAAAGATGATCTCGTAGACAATGAAAGAGTACGGTGTGTCGTGATGCAAATCACTGACTTGAAAACAAAATTCCGGCACAACCGGGGTGCACTATTGTATTCGTCGGCACGTTCCCTAAGGTTAACACACCACTTCCACACAAAGGCACTTTTGGGTGGAAGGTTGGAGCCAAGTAACTTATGCCCAATATAGATTATGTGTTTAAGAAAGCTTGTGTTTGATATGTATTTCTTGTGTATATAAAAATCAGAAAACATCCTCCAATTTATAGAGATGAATAAAGAAGATGAAAGATCATGGAGGAATCTTCTATGAACAAAGAAGAGAAAATCAGAAATTTTATGGTCATTAAAAACACCATAATCAACCTCTTAAATGGGGGGTTACAAGAAATCAAACAAGAAGAGGAATCTAAGGGAACCGTTGGAGTCCAACGGACAAACACGCGCCCGATCGGGCGGACACTCCCTTTTTCCAAATGTCTTCTCGCGCCTGGTCGGGAGGGGCTCACCCTGTCAGGCGGCAGGTCGGGCGCCCGATCGGGCGGAGCTTTCCAGATCGGGCAGTGGATCTCCAGAATTTTACGACTATTCTCGCGCCCGATCGGGCGGGTCTCGCTCGGTCGGGCGCCTGATCGGGCGCTCATATCTGACCCTTTGAATTTCCTTTCTTTATTTCCAACAATCCCCCACTAAAGGAAGGGAAGAAAAGCCAACAAAAGATGAGGATAAGCAACATATTGGGCATAAGAGGAGATCAATACATAACACTTAGATATTACATAAGTAATTTGAAATCTAGTGCTTAGTGAAATGAGACAGTGAATTACAAGTATAAGGGTGGACAAACCTTGAAACCCTTAGACTCTTGATCAAGGAGTGGACTAACCTTGAAACTCCAAGATTTAATTCAAGGCCCTCAAATCACATACCTTTCTCCAAAAATTTACTTGAACTCCGTGAAGAGATATGCTCTTTTATAGCCAAGCATATTCACCTTAGGTCTAGTGGAAGCTCTAGGAAATCCGCCCAAGTTTTCCATAGAAGATGGCTAGTCTTCACAACCACACAGGTAAATCACAAGCACTTCTCGAAAGTACTTAGTCAACGGGGTTAAAACATGTTCATAAGAACTAAACAAATGCTGCATTATAGCCATTTACCCCCACATGACCATGGATTCATTAAGAGCTTAACGTTCAACTTCACAATAATCATAAACAACGGTGATCCAAAGTTTTAGTGCGTCCGTCCAAACAATTGGATTCATTAAGAGTCAAAGGACTCAACCTCCAACGATGGATCAATCAAGTGCGTCTCAAATAGCACCAACCAAAAATGGTTTATTGATCCATTAAGAACTCAAAAAGAGTCCAACCTCAAACAAGCATTACAACACATTCCATAGTGATAGGAAAGTAATGCTTTTCCACATGAGCTTAAGGCCTATCCCCCTCGACATTTTTCACAAATTATCAAGGATTGTGTTACATGTCCAAATTTCCTTACCATAGTGCAAAATCATTTTGCTAGAATATTTTTTCCAATAAGAAAAACTAGCATGTTTCAACATCAACTTAATTTGCACAGATGGTTAGAAAAATATATCACTTAGTTTTCACCATTAGATGAATAAGTAATAAGACAACGAACTCAAGACTTGAAATTTCAAAACCTTAATCAAGTCCAATCCTTGAAAATAACATAGCCGCATTAGTGAAATTTCTTCATCAACCATCAATCACCAACACTTGCCTTCCGAAAAATCTGAACAACTTTTCCCAAAAGCTAGTGTATTTCACACCCTTCGTACCTAAAAAGATACTTAGTAAAAGATGAAATAAATTTAAACAACGTTAGTCATTCACTATTAGATTTGTAAAATATTGCACTTCAACTATTTCACAAATATATGCTATGTTAAAATAAAATGCAATGCATGTCACTATCACATTGCTAAATTTATTAGCATACTCCACTCAAATGATAACATGAACAACAAATATCATATCATCGTATAAATCTTTCCAATCACGAAACATGTATGACACTTTGGAAAAAATCAAAACTCATAATGATTATTATTATTCTGAAAATAATAAAACACATTGTCATAATCCAAATCGTGAAAATTGCTCAACAAAATTGGAAAGATAAGAAGTTCAAGAAAGTTGTTAACTATAAATCACATGTGATTCTCAACACCACCACATTACTCACATTGTAGAAATAACACAAAAATATATATTACCTTGAAGCAAGTAGTGAGAAACAAACTTAGTCACAAATATTAGATTCTCACAAGGTACTAACCACACTCTTGTACCACTCCCTAGGTAATAATTTCAAGTCAGCTCATACTTGAACTTATAACTCACACTTGAACTTCCAATTCACATTTCTTATCTTCAACATGGAACTCACTAACTAACCCACTTAAGTCATCACTTAGAAGGCTTAACAAAATTCAACTACTAGAGGGGAACTTATCATCAAAGATTAAAGATCCAAAATAATTAAGTCATCCAAGTAAGACCTACATCGTTCCATTAAGACAAGAAAGACAAAGTCACCTTTACTCACAAATTTAGCCTTGATCATTCCTAACAATACTTAGTGAATTGACGTTGAAAAGACTTTAGAAAAAATATTAGGAAACACACTCCATAAAAAGATAGGAGAACTCTAGGCAAGTTAAAATTATCTAACTTATCCTCAATAGTTTCTTCTAAAATAACCAATCACTCACATCAACAATTCATTAAGTTAAGGAAACACTCTTCACACATTGCATAGAGAAACCAAATCAAGACAAATACGTAATAGTCTTTAGCATAACTACTCACTTTCATGCTTTGCATCAAATAGAAGAGAAACTAAAAATGATGCCTCTTATTCTTCTTATAGTCAACTTGTTTACTCATAAACAAAATAAATGCATATATGGAAATATAGAAATCAAGAGACATGAGAATTTCATATGCATAGCCAATCACTCAAACATGACATAATGCATAGAATTTCTAAAAACAAATTATTAAAGTAAAGGAGATAATTCAATAATCCAACATTGTGGTATATGGAGACAATCCAACATTCACAAACAAAGTCATGGAGCATACTATCAATTTCTTAAAAAGCAAATCCAAAATATCAAATAAACCAAGACTTTGAGTCCAACATTTATTCTCATATACTTTTCCCCCACATTGGACGATATAAGTCTTCAACTTAAGTATTGAAATTAGACATGGTAAACTCTATTCCTTTCACATGGGGCATATAAGAACTAAATTCCTACTACAAAATTCTACACTCATAGAATCATAACCCCCACATGCCAAAGTTAAGTCTAAAATCAAAACATAGAATGGAGAAAAGGAATATGTGAACATACCTCCATAGTGCCTCTAATAATTTACCTTAGCGATCAATGACGAACAACCCAATGACCACCACTTGTAATGATTGTGCATCCACTAAGTGATTTGAGCTATTTGAGGCATATTTGGATCCATGTTCTTTACTTGAATCATATTGACATCATGTGGAGATTTACTAGACATAACACCAAAAGAAATAAAATTCTTAAGAATCACTTCCCGCACATAAAGAAATCGATAAATATTCTTTAAAGAAATGTCAATACCAAACCAAATTGAACCAATTAAGAACAAATATGAACAAAACACGTAATAAGAATTAATAACTCTTGAAAACTCTCTATTAAGGTGGATAAACAAAGAAGTAAAATAACCTAACTATTGAATTAAATAATAATCCAAACATTATCATACTTCCAAAAATTCATCATAAGGTTGACACACTACAATATCAAAAATAGCCACCAAAAGAATTTCAAGAGTACTAAAATTAATAAAAGTAGTCATGCATTCCCAACAAAAACTATGGCACAACTAAAGAATCAGAAAAACAACCACTAAGGATATTCTCCATGGAGGAAAAATACACACATGACTCTTCACAAGATAAGCACATAATTCACATTTAAAAAATTCTCATGGTTAAATTGATAGAATCAACACAAGTTATTGAGAAGAATTATGCAAATAGAGCATTATTATGAGCATGAGCAAAGTCTTTACAAGCAAGACAAATATCTATATGTATATCAACACATATGTACCAAAAGTAATAAACTTTCACATTGCTTCATACTCCACATCATACTCATTGTAAATAAAATCATGGTAGAACTTATAAAACCTACAATTTAACAAGTCTTAAATAACCATGAATAATCTATCAACATAGGCATGTAGATATTAGGAACTCAACAACACATTGTTAATAGAAATTAATCTGAAGCAATAACCCAAAATTTACTTTCTCAATGAACAAAACAACACATGTTCAAAAATCAACAAATTGTTAAATAAAACCAACCAACATATTTCTAAGTGCTAAGTTCAAACCACAAGCATAGAACAAAGACATAGAAATAATCATGCCATGTAACATCACACATATATAACATGGATTATACTTTAGCTTATAAACTAATAATCATGTAACAAATACTACATAATGGACAAAATAACCATCTAATATTGTAATGCCAAAAATCACAACCCATATATTTGCCAAGATGATTATTAGAATTAAAATCACGTGCTAAGCATAATCAAAATAAAATTAGTTTAGTGAGGACCTCCCTTGAATTAATTCAATTGTCAAAGATGAGCATTCTCCGTAGTACGCCCAAATTTCCTCTCCAAAAATGTAGCTTAATATTAAATCCATAACTCCCAAACATGAGCAGATATCAACAATCCAACTGTTGAAAATGAAGCTTCATATGTCCCAAACATACTCCCAAAATTTCAGCCCAAACCGACAACGATTGACCTTCGATCGGGGTCTATTTCCGGGACTGCTCCCAGAAAAACGTGAACAACATTTTTTACCCAAAAAATTGTTTTTCCTTGACATCATCCAATCTTTCGACCAATACCCAATTAATAGCCAATGAAAATATATAATTTCGTTTTCAAATTGTTGTAATATAAGAAGTATTTTCAAGGCTATATTCAAAAATAAGAAGATTGAAAAGATGATCTCGTGACAATGAAAGAGTACTGTGTCGTGATGCAAATCACTGACTTGAAAACGAAATTCCGGCGCAACCGGGGTGCACTATTATATTCGCCGGCACGTTCCCTAAGGTTAACACACCACTTCCACACAAAGACACTTTTGGGTGGAAGGTTGGAGCCAAGTAACTTATGTCCAATATAGAGTATATGTTTAAGCAAGCTTGTGTTTGATATGTATTTATTGTGTATATAAAAATCAGAAAACATCCTCCAATTTATAGAAATGAATAAAGAAGATGAAAGATTATGGAGGAATCTTCTATGAACAAAGAAGAGAAAATCAGAAATATTATGGTCATTAAAAACACCATAATCAACCTCTTAAATGGGGGGTTACAAGAAATCAAACTAGAAGAGGAATCCAAGGGAACCGTTGGAGTCCAACGGACAAACACGTGCCCGATCAGGCGAACACTCCCTTTTTCCAGATGTCTTCTCGTGCCCGGTCGGGCGGGGCTCGCCCTGTCGGGCGACAGGTCGGGCGCCCAATCGGACGGTGGAACTCCAAAATTTTACGACTCTTCTCGCGTCCGATCGGGCGGGTCTCGCTCGGTCGGGCGCCTGATCGGGCGCTCATATCTGACCCTTTTAATTTCCTTTATTTATTTCCAACAAATGCATAACTAACCTCCCTCACTACTACATTCGACCAATTCGTCACTTCCTTTTGGCTGGCTGACCTATTAACCAAAAGCAAAACTAGTTCGCAGAAAAGGGTAGCCATAGCTAATAAAAAAGACAAAATAATTATTGTTTGTTAGATTTTCAATGATGCGCAATCATAGGTGGGTCTTTATTCCTTGAACAAAGGATTTCAATTTTATGATCAACCAACCAGTCATAGATCTGAAACTTGGGCTAGATAATTTTTAGGAAAATTTCACACCAATAATCCAACCTTTCACTCATTCTCTCAAAATAATTCAATCTTTCGATTAATCTTGAATAATCCTAAATTTACCTATTATTCTAAAGGTTGGATTATTCTTGTGAAATTTTCCTAATTTTTATACCAAAGAGAAAATACAAGTTGATTTATGAGATTAACAATTATTGTTATCACATGATATTTTTTGTAAATAAATAAAGATTTTTTTCCTTAAAAGTGAACCTCATTGACTCATTGTAATTATAGCTACATAAAACTGTTAATTTATTTATAGAAATGCCATATGATAAACAATTTTTGCTTATCATGTCAAAGTAATTAACTGAGCCCCTTCTATACCAAATCTACGATAATGCCAAATGGACCCTTGGGTCTTGGGGCCTGTTTCGATTTATCGAAAATAACTGAATTGAATTGAACTTACTTGAACTGAACTGAACTGAATTAAACTTACTTGAACTAAACTGAACTGAATAGAGCTGAAATGAATTGTTTATGTGAAAAGAAAATTAGGAATTGAACTGAACTAAACTAAACTAAACTAAACTAAACTAAATTGAACTAATTGGAGTTGAATTGAACTGAACTGAAATTAAGATGAATAGAATAGCCATTGATCCTAGGGGTGAGCATGGGACGGATACCCATACCGTTAGTTTAGATTTAAAAAAAAAAAAAGATTTATGTAGGGAGAAAAAAGCAAAAAAAAATATGTTTATCGGATCGGATCGGGTAACCGTTAATTTTAAAATCATACCCAATAACCATACTCGATAATAAATTATCGGAACGGATACCCAAACCGTAATGTTTATTGGATCAGGTTCTTTAATTTTCGGAACGGTTACGAATCGGTTTTTTTCGATTTTTCAAGTAGTTTTCCTCAGCCGTGGATCCCACACACACAAAGCGGGAAATTAAAACGAACAAGTGAGTTGAAAATCCAAATACCCTTTCGGCCTTGCCAATCTAGCGAATGCCCACGCGTTAAACAGGCGCGTGAATAAAGAAGCAAAAACCACTCGGATTAATCCGATTCATAGTGAGGCGTTTCATTATTGAGTCAACCCAGCGATCGATTCTCTTTCCTCCAACTCGCTTTTCAAACCCTAATTTTTTACCGAGTTACCCTGACTCGTTCGATTCAAATCGTTACTCGCCGATTCTTCATCTTTTTTCCCCAATTTCGCCCAAATTTTCTGTTCAATGCCTAATACATCGTAATCGGAGCATCAATTTTGCAAAACCAGGTAATTTTTCTTTGATTTTTTTAGATTTTGACATTTTGGATTGAATTTATTGACATAAATTTGCAGCAAAGGTCACATTTTCAGGTATATTTATTTATTTATTTGTGAATAAATTCTGCAAATTTTTAATCTTTATAAGGTTTGATCGATTTTTTAAAAATATAATCTATAAATGTAAATGTGAAATTTCGCTTGAATGTCAATTGTTGTATCTGTGTGCAGTAAAATTTTACGGATTTGATCTGATGTATGAAATCAATTAAATTAATTATTAACGAAACTTGATAAATTTTAATGTAGTTTATTCTTTAGTCTAGGTACATTATAAGATTTGTAATGTGTTTCTTAGACTCAACAGGTATGTGTTCAGGTAGCAAACTTGACCATTTTGTGAAAATTTTGCTTATTTTTTAGTGTAGATAAGATGTCAAAGTGTCTATAATCATGTTGGAGTGTTGAGTATCGATTTTCGATTATTGGATACTTGTAAGCAGGATGAAATGAAGAGAGTGTAACATAAGTTTATAATGGATGCAGTTTGGATTTTGGATGGTAAAATAGTTGTAATGGTGAAATGAATTTGTCTTATTGGTTGGAATGTGTAGGTTGACATCACTGAAATGAAGTTGTCTTATTGCTGTAAGAATAATTCCTTTGTGATGCATCTTCATAAATAATGGCTAAAAGATACTGTAAAGGGGTAATTTAGGTAAGATTATGTACGTTCGACCCCATCTTACCCTACAGAGAGTAGGCGTTTTGTTAGAAAGCTTGGGTATGACATATGAATAAGATGTTTAATGCTGATCGTTGTGGATTATATCGTGTTTACACTAAAGGCACCGTTTCTTATTTCCTCATTGTCATGTAGGTGTGGATAAGCGTCACAATAGCTATTTCCTAGCATACTAAAGCTACTTTACACATTATTACATTAGTTTCCATTTCGAGTCTAGGGGTGTTTGACCTTTCTCTCTTTTGTGTCCTGGCTGAGGTTTTTTTTATGCTCATGTTGCTACAAGATAACTCCGCCTTTTCTCTTGCCTGCTTTCCTTGGTAGTATTTAGTTTTCAAATCTTTTTGACCTTGTCATACTTGCATAGTTGCATGCATTAGGTGTAGTTATCAGAAGTTCCTAATGTATCTTATAGTTAATCAAAACTTGACTGTGATAATAATGTTATATTGGTCAATTGAATATATTTTTTTTTTGGAATAACTTCTTGCAATTTCTTTGCCAAGCTCATGTATATTCTATTAATGTTATTTTTGTTGGCAATTTCTTGTAACTTATTTCGTCTGATCAAAATTTCATGTTTTTATTTGCATAATCTCTAAAGCATGGAGTAAATGTTGAACTTCTGGAATAGTAAGTTTTATGCTTGGTCTTCAAAATGATGGGAGAGATGGCCCCACTCCGTCCAGCTGGATATGTTGACCCTGGCTGGGAGCATGGGACTGCACAAGATGAGAAGAAGAAGAAGGTCAAGTGCAATTATTGTGGGAAAGTTGTTAGTGGAGGTATATATAGATTAAAACAACACTTGGCTCGAATCTCAGGAGAAGTAACATACTGTGAGAGGGCTCCGGAAGATGTATACTTGAGAATGAGAGAAAATTTGGAAGGCTGCCGCTCCAATAAAAAGCCAAAGTTATCTGAAAATGATGAACAGGCATATTTGAATTTTCAGTCTCCTGATGACGATGATGATGCAATGGAGAATATTGATTATAGAAGAAAAGGGAAAAAAGTAATGAATGATAAAAGTTTAGTTTTAAATTTGACTCCTCTTCGCTCATTGGGATATGTTGACCCTGGTTGGGAGCATGGTATTGCTCAAGATGAGAGGAAGAAAAAGGTGAAGTGCAATTACTGTGGCAAAATAGTCAGTGGAGGCATCAATAGATTTAAACAACACTTGGCCAGAATTCCAGGCGAAGTTGCGCCTTGTAAAAATGCTCCAGATGAAGTTTTTATGAAGATTAAGGAGAATATGAAATGGCATCGCACAGGGAGAAAGCATAGAAGGCCAGATGCCAAGGAAACACCATCTTTTTTTGTGCATTCTGATGATGAACCTGAAGAGGATGAACCAGAAGAAGATGTTTTGCAGCACTTGAACAAGGATAGAGTAGTTATGGGGGGAAAGAGACTGGGAAAAGATTTTAGAAGGGGTTTCAGTGGAATGTCAACTGGAAGTTGCTCCGAGATGTTCTTGAAAAAGCATGGGCAAAATCCTACCATCTTGAAAACTTCAATGAATCATATGCCACTGACTTACAAACAAAGTTGCGGACCAAACAAAAGGAACCGTAAGGAAGTAGTGTCTGCCATTTGTGAATTCTTCTATTATGCTGGGATCCCAATTCAAGCAGCCAACTCCCTATCTTTTCAGAAAATGCTGGAGCTTGTTGGTCATCACGGACCAGGTCTAATAGGCCCTTCAAGCCAGCTGATATCTGGTCGTTTTCTCCATGATGAATTGTCGACAGTCAAAAGCTATCTAGCTGAGTATAGGACATGTTGGGCAGTAACTGGTTGTTCCATTATGGCAGATAGTTGGAAAAATTCACAGGGTAGGACTCTAATCAATTTTTTAGTCTCCTGTCCTCGTGGTGTCTACTTTGTTTCGTTAGTTGATGCTACTGATGTAGTAGACGATCCCTTAAGTTTGTTCAAGTTACTTGACAAAGTGGTGGATGAGATTGGTGAGGAAAATGTTGTTCAGGTGTGTAACTTTGGTTCCTTTTATATATATATATATATATATATATATATATATATATATATATATATATATATATATGAATTGGCAGCTATTAGACTAATGAAACCTTCTATCTGATTCTTCTCATATAATTTTTCTTGTATATGCTATAGGTAGTTACTCAGAATACCCCGAGTTATAAGACTGCTGGAAAGATGCTTGAAGACAAAAGAAAAAATTTATTTTGGACCCCATGTGCTGCCTATTGTATAGATAGAATTCTTGCAGATTTCACAAAGATAAAGCTGGTTGGTGAGTGCATTGAGAAAGCTCAAAAAGTTACAAAGTTCATCTACAACCGGATATGGCTGCTAAATCTTATGAAGAAGGAGTATACAGGGGGGCAAGACATTTTAAGACCTGCTATTACAAGATATGCTGCAAACTTTATTAGTTTACAAGGTGTATTTGACCATAGGATTAGTCTTAAAGATATGTTCCAATCAAGCAAATGGCTTTTGTGTCGCTTTTCAAGATCAGATGATGGCAAGGATGTGGCAAAAATTGTTTTAAATGCTTCCTTCTGGAAGAAAATGCAGTATGTCCTGAAATCAGTAGACCCTATTCTGCACGCACTCCATAAAGTTGACATCAACAGTAATCTGTCTATGCCATATGTATATAGTGACATAGTAAGGGCAAAACTTGCAATTAAAAGCATTCATGGTGATGATGCACGCAAGTATGGTCCCTTCTGGAATGTGATTGACAGTCACTTAAGTTCTTTGTTCCATCATCCATTATGCGTTGCTGCATACTCTTTAAATCCAGCCTATAGATATCGACCAGATTACCAGGCGGTAGGTTTAACTAAAATTTTCATATTTAAGTGTACATTTTACAGTTTTAAGGCTGATCCTTTGCTTTGTGAATGAAGAATCCAGAGGTGGTTCGTGGACTAAATGAATGCATTGTTCGCCTTGAACCAGACAGGGGGAGACAGGTTTCTGCGTCCATGCAGGTTAATATGTGCCTGCAATTTTTCATCAAGATTCATTATTGAAAAATAAAATAAATCTAAACCCAATTCTTTCTAATGACAGATCTCTGACTTTATATCTGCTAAAGCTGATTTTGGGACTGAATTGGCAATCAGTACAAGAACTGAGCTTGATCCAGGTGATGAGACTTGTTATTGAATTTATTTTTGTTTGTGTTTGTGGTGAGATAGTCCTGAGACTCCCAACTGTAGAAAGGAACCATCAGTACCCAAAAAAAGGCAGTCATCCAATGTCATTAGATATGTTCTGATATCAATTTTTTCTCATCAGCTGTATGGTGGCAGCAACATGGTGTGAATTGTTTGGAATTGCAGCGATTAGCTGTACGCATACTAAGTCAAACCTGCTCTTCTTTTGGATGCGAACACAATTGGAGTATATATGATGAGATTCATTGTGAAAGGCAGAACCGTCTAGCGCACAAGAAATTGAATGATTTTGTGTATGCTCACTATAATTTGAGACTGAGGGAGCGCCAAATAAAGCAGTCGAATGAATTATTATCACTTGACAGTGCTCTTCTAGAAGGTTTACTTGATGACTGGGTTGTAGAGGCAGGCAGACAAGCCATTCAAGATGATGAGGTATCAACTACATCTGCAATCTATAGTGTAGGTGACGTAAGACACCCCCCCCCCTCTCCTCTCTTTCCCCACAACTTTGCCTTAACTTTTCTTGTCTTCTGATGAGACGGAACTTGCCTTTTCCTCAGCAGGGGGTATATGACCATGAAGATGGATACAGCTATGATATACTCGAATATGACGATGGTGCCTCAGATGTTATGAGGAGGGGAACTCTAGATATGGTGACACTAGCAGATGTAGAGCCCTTGGGAGTACATCCTAACGCAGGTCCAGCCACAGATGATGATGCTGAACTTGATTTCCTTGATGATGACTTAACTGATTAATTAACAGACCTCTGTCGACATGACTAAAATATTAAGGTATATCTTTTTTATATTATTATTATTTGAGGGTGTAACTAAGTATAGTTAAATGCTAAACTGCATTCATATGTGTAATAAGTTTGGATGGAATCCCAATATCCAAATTTTATCTTACCTGAAAATGGATAACATAATAGAACGTAGCAATTGTTAGTCTTTATTGTAACCTGAAAACCAACTCTCTAAAATTAAAATATTTTATTCGAAATTTTTGCCTTCATGCAGCTCCTCTTCTGGCACCACAAATTGTTGCCAGGACTTACATTTTCTCTGGTCTCGATTGTATATAGTTGGATGCATCTACCTTGAAGTTTATCAAAGAGATGTCTCAGGTTTACCAATGCCGCCTGTTAGTAAAGAGGAATTGTTTAGCCCCATTTCATCTGTTAGCACCTGATGTAAATTACCATTCCAAAATTTCTGACCGCTTCTCAAAGAATTTGTTCCCTTGTCTCTATCAGGGAGTCAAGTTCTCGTCTGGAACTTCGAATCAAGAATTTTTTTTCAGTTGAGGTCCAATGTTCCTTGCTCAAGTTTCAAAGACTCTCAAGTCTTAACCGGCAGTCCAGCAGGCGGACATAAACATCACAATTAGAACTCAGGAAAAAGATTGTTTCCTATATTATATTGCTGGACTTTTTGGTATCTGCATCATCTTGATTCATTTTGCTTAACAGGTGATTTTTTTTTCAATTATTGATGTGTATCGATCTTTAGTCACATGAATGAGAAGGTTGTATATATCTTGTGCAATGTAATCTTTATCAAATTTGCATTATGAGGTTCCCAATTCCAAATCAAAACAACCAATTCTTTGTTCAATAGTTTTGCTGGAAGATCCTTTTTTCTTAAAAAAAAATTGAAAAATTGTAACCTATGAAAGTATATGATATTAATCCACGTCAGATTTCAGTACACGGTAGCATATTGATACTCCATAAGATTATATGCAAAACAGTAAAGTAGTACGGAGAGAAGGAAAAAAAAGGCATATATATAACTAGACTAGATTAGACCCGTACAATGCAAAATTATTATTTATTTTCCTATACATACTTATTATTTATTTATTTATCTGCAAAACTATACTAAGTAATAAAAATTTATTAGAACGAAATAAATAGTTTCTATTATTTGTTTTCCAATACATACTTATAAATTAGATCATAGAAACATACAGTATCTTTCATCCTAAATTACTAAGTAATAAAATATAAAAATAAAAGTTAATCTTATCTAATTAAACCATATGCATACTTATAAATTAGTTTATTATTGTATAACAAAAATCCATATTATTACTACATGACTTCATGGCTAAGTTGCTTGCACAATTCCTTAGTAAAAACACACGCTCAAACAAAAGTAAAACCTTAAAAAAAAAAAAAAAAAAAATTCGTAGTTACCTAAAATGTTTTAGCTCAATATCAATTAATTTATTCCAATCAAAAAAGAATTTTATTTATTGATTGACACGGTCAAAAGATTGAAATGAAAATGATTAAAAATAACCAAACCCTAAAAATTAAAAAAAAAAAAAAAAACCAAAAATATATATGACATCATAATTGCAAGCTAGTCCCTAAAAGCAACTATTGGAATTGCTCTTATGAGAGATTGACACGTATGAAGCTTGAGATGACGATGATGTCAGCAATTTTCAGTTTTAGTAATAGTTAATAGATTACTGTTCGTGCGATGCAAGGTAGTAATAATTTTTTCCCATATTTAATTGTGATATAATACATATATGAGGCAACTCATGTGCAATAAACTAATTCAATGCATACAGTTTAATAAAAAGATATGGCAAGATTATTAGAACTACAATTGAGATTTTTTTTTATTTTTTATTTTTTTATTATTGTTGCTTGGTTGTGTTGAAATATTTAAAAGTGGTATACACTATATTACATTACAGAGTTTTTTTGGTGCAGCAGGTCACACCGTGTGGCTTGTTGCCAAATTAGTAAAAATAACAGATTCAGACGCGCTCATAACGGGGTTATTATTCACGCGCATAACGTGGTTACTAGTTTTATCAGGGTTACTTGTATTTGTCAGGGGTTACTTGTAATTTTTGTTTTCAGGGGTTACTTGTATTTTTTTTTTTTCAGGAGTTACTTGTATTTTTTTTTCAGCGGTTACTTGTATTTATTTTTTTTAGGGTTACTTGTATGGGTTAATTCAAGGGTTACTTCAAGGGTTACTTATATGAGTTACTTATTCAAGGGTTACTTGTATGAGTTACTTATTCAGGGGTTACCTATATGAGTTATTTCAAAGGTTACTTATATGAATTACTTATTCAAGGGTCACTTGTTACTTATTCAAGGGTTGTTTGTAGGCCCCACACCAAACCAGTAACACCCTACAAGTAACCCTTGACCAAAACTAGTAACACCTTACAGGTAACCATTGACCAAAACTAGTAACACCCTACAGGTAACCCTTGAACAAATAAGTAACACCCTATAAGTAACCCCTGACCAAACCAGTAACACCCTATATGTAACCCCTGACCAAACCAGTAACACCCTATATGTAACCCCTGACCAAACCAGTAACACCCTACAAGTAACCCCTGACCAAACTAGTAACACCTTACAATTTTTGATGAAGAATGCTCGATCTAAGATTCCACGAAGAAAACGAGTTAGATTTCTTTGGTTCTCATCGATTTCACTACTTCAAATGTTGTTGATGATCTTGAGGATAATTAATCACAATTTTTACAGCAATTTGACACCCAATTTCTACAATTTCGGGCTTTAATTGCAACAATTTGGCAAAGAGGAGAGAGAAAATGGGTGGAGTGGAGATATGGTTGTTGGTGATGTGTGGTTTGGCTTGAAGAAAAAGCTAAGAAAAGAGGAGAGAGAAAATGGGTGAAGTAGAGATATGGTTGTTGGTGATATGATGTTTGGTGTTAGATTATGTAAATATTCTTGTATATAATTAGCTTGTATATTACTAATATAGCCTTATCCCTAACCCTAGTATACTTTGTATATATAATGATGTTTAATCAATGAGAAAGGCACAACAAATATTCTCTCATCTATCATATTCTCTCATGGTATCACGAGCTTAGGTTACGATCTGACCTAGTTCTCTTCCGCACCTCTCTTCTTCTTTTCTTCTTCTTCTCTTCCTTAACCATGACCGAATCCTCCAAAATTCACCCTGCTACCATTGTTCCTAACATCAAGGCCCGTATTCCTATAGTTCTTGATTATGATGGCAAGCAATATAATTGCTGGTCCACCTTGTTTCAATTGCACCGCCGCGCACATTTAGTCCTTGACCATATTAAACCCAAGGCTAAACCAGCACCTCAGGCCGATGGTAAGGAAGCTCCTTCAGTTGACATGGACCTTTGGCAATGACTTGACGATATTGTGCGTCAATGGATTTATGGGACAATTTCCAATGATCTTCTCAATTCCATCATTGATTCGGATGATAAAGCGGTTGATGCGTGGAATCGATTGGAAATTTTTTCCACAATAACAAGTCGGCTAAGACTTTGCAACTTGATGCCCAATTCATAAACACTCGGATAGAGCACTTTGATGGAGTCCATCCCTGTTGCTCCCAACTCAAGTATCTGATTGATAGTTTGAAGAACGTCGAAGATCCAGCCTCCGATAATCGAATGGCTTTGCAACTATTGAAGGGTCTTTCGGAGGATTACAAACCCTTTAGCACATCCGTTCGACATCTCAACCTTTTGCCCTTTTTTGATACCCTCCGGTCAATACTAGAGTTGGAGGAACAAGAGAATACTACGGATTTATTACACGAGTCACATGATGCGACTCTCATTTCGCAGACTTAGCTTCTCTCTTGGCACTGCAACACAACACTGATTCCTCCCACAAATCTTAGTATGGTGGGGGTAATTCGCGTTCTGGTGGCCGGAAGAATAAGGGAAAGGGCAGCACCACCACGAGGAAAGGTGGTGCCGGACAACAGCAGCGTGGTGGCTCCACGCAGCACCAGCAGCAGCCTTCGTGTACCCCTGCGTCTCAGCAGCAGCAGCCCAGGCAGGGTGGGCGTATCCCCTCCTTGGGAATATTGGCAGCAAGGTCCGTGGGCAATACCTCCCTGCCCGTATCCCTGCACCTAGACCCATGTCATCTCAGTCAGGTGTGCTAGGGCCGAGACCACCTCAAGCTTATTTTGTGAAGGATCCGTCTCAAGCTTCGGGTTATATGTCGACCAACATATATTGAGCAAGCAATGCATATTATGACTCTTGCTGACCCAAACTATTACATGGACACCGGAGCTACATCCCATATGACTAACACTCAAGGTAACTTGTCGTCATATTCTCATTTATGTAGAAATAATAATAATTCTATTGTTGTTGGTGATGGTAGAAAAATTCCAATTCACGGTTATGGTCACAAAATTTTTAAACCACACACACTTCAACTTAAAAATGTCCTCCATGTTCCTAAACTTGTCAAAAATCTAATCTCAGTTAGAAAATTCACTATTGATAATAATGTTTCAATTGAGTTTGATCCTTTTGGGTTTTCTGTGAAGGACTTACAAACGGGGAGCAAAATAGTGAGGTATAATAGCAGTGGCGATCTCTATCCCTTCTTCACCAATCGTCAACTCTTTTCCGCTTCTATTCCGTCAGCTTTTGTAGTTATCTCTCCTAGTGTGTGGCATTCCCGTTTAGGTCATCCGGGAAATGCAATTTTGGGTTCTTTGCGTAGTAGTAATCTCATCAATTGTAATAAGGCTATTAAACATGTTTGTCATTATTGTCCTTTGGGAAAATTAATAAAAATGCCTTTTTATGATTCCTTGACTCATACTACTATGCCGTTTGATATTGTTCATAGTGATTTATGGACATCTCCGGTCCTTAGTTCTCTTGGCCACAAATATTATGTTCTTTTTCTTGATGAATACACGAATTTTCTATGGACTTTCCTGATTTCCTCTAAGTCTCAAGTCTATACATTGTTTAATCGTGTTCGAACATATATCAAAACCCAATTTGAGAGAGAAATCAAAGCTTTCCAATGTGACAATGGTCGCGATTTGACAATGAATCATTTACAAAATTTTGTCACCAAAATGGAATGACTTTTCATCTTTCTTGTCCATATACATCTCCACAAAATGGCAAGGCCGAGAGAAAAATAAAAACAATAAACAATATCTTTCGTACTCTTCTATGTCATGTGTCTTTGCCTCCTTCTTTTTGGCAATATGCATTGGAAATGGCCACTTGTCTCCATTATATCTTGCCTACAAAGCTTCTTAATTATAAATCCCCGACTCAAATTCTTTACTAAAATAATCCTGACTATTCCCATCTTTGAGTTTTTGGTTGTTTAGCTTATCCTCTTCTTCCCTCTTCTAAAATACATAAACTTCAAGCTCGATCCGTTCCTAGTGTCCTCCTTGGTTATCCTTCGAATCATAGGGTGTACAAGTGTTATGTTATATCGAGTCGAAAATTTTTTGTAGCAAGACACGTGTGGTTTGATGAGTCTTCTTTTTCTTTTTCTACAATTCACTCACCCAAGGCTCACACATATGATTTCTTGGGTGACGCTGAATATTCTGCTCATAACCCTCTCTTGAGGCATCACATTGCACCTCAAGAGCAACCCCTAGCCTCTGCCCAGCCCGCACCTTTTCCATCGTGCGCTGGCCAGGCAGATGCTAGCAGGCAGCCAGCCCCGCAAACACAGCTTGCTCCGCAGGCAGCCTGCGATAGCAGCACCCAACCCGCAACTTGCCTGCGGAGTCTGCTGCTTCCCTTTCGATAGCAGCACTCTTCTCCTTCA